TTTTTTTAGCTTTTCTGACATTCATAATTTTGTGTTTGTTAGGAGCTCTGGTAGCATAGTGCCTAAGACACTTGACTGCTAACCAGAGGGCTGGTGGTTCAAACCCAACAGCCACTCCTCGGAAGGAAGATGGGGCAATCTACTTCCATAGTGATACTGCCTCGGAAACCCAAGGAGGGGTCACTATGAGTCGGGTCCAACTTGACGGCACATAACAACATCAACAAACTATTTATTGTCATGTTTCTGCTATTTCCTCTTTTAGTACCTAATAACCTGTTTTTGCATGCCTTACTAAATGAAAGTGTTTCCTAGGCAGTTCAATCAGCCTGTAAAGAATTTAAGGACAGTTGTAATATGCTATTTCCACTGAGATCTGGGATTCACTGAACAGTTGCCTCACCTATTCTCTGAGTCATTTCTGTCTCCTAACTACTTAACAACCAGAGCCTATCCATATCCCTGATTAGATATATTGCCAATTCCGCTAATCTTCTTCTGGCTTGACTTTCTTCTTTTGCTCACCCTGATGACAGCAGATATGTAAGGTGTTAGGAAGAGATTGGAAGATGAAAAAGAGTTCCTTGCTTCAGAATACTTCATCCACTAGTATTCAGCTTTCTTCATGTGAATGGATAAAGCCAGACAGTGCTGCTCTTTGCATAATGGGCTTTTATTTTATATGTTAATACTGACTGGCTAGATGTATTATGTGTGTTGCTATAATATTGAGTTTTTGGTAGGGAAAGGAGCCCTGGTGGCACAGTGGTTAAGCATTCAGCTACTGACCAGCAGGTGGGTGGTTCAAGTTCACCAGCTGCTCTGTGGAAGAAAGATGTAGCAATCTGATTCTATAAAACCCTGCTGTCCTGTGTGGTCACTAAGAGTCAGAATCTACTTGACAGCAATGGTTTTTTGTTGTTGTTTTTTCCCCCCATTTCAAATGGATTGATGGAAAATACAAAATTGTTTTTAGACAGAAAACTAATACAAGTTGTTTCTTCATTTAAACATACACAAAATTTTTTTACATAATGTGGTATCTAACATAATAAACATTCAATACTGTTGTCTTTCAATTTTTTTTTTTTTTATGTTTAATCATTTCTCAATTCATCTTGGTTATGTTCCTGACTCAGTTTTGTCCTCTTAGAGTACTTTATAATCCTGTTACTTACAATACACCAAGCCAAATTAGAGAGACACTCCATTACTATGTTGTTGTTTCATCTGACCTCAGTTTTTATGTTCCTAATTTTCCAGTGTGGTTATATTCGATACTGATACCCCTGAAACAGGAAAGAAATAATAATATGTGCTAAGATTAGGACCAGTGCTAGGGACTTTTCACCAAAGCATTTTCTCATTTAATCATCACAGCAACCCTTTCAGCTAGAAGTTGTTACCCCTCATTTTAGAGATGATGATTCAAGATTCTAAATATCTCACTGCAAAAACGGCAAAGTGGCCACATATTCTGACCTCCTCTAATCCCACAAGAGGAAGGCAGAATCACCATCAATAGCGCAAGCCTATTACTGCAAGGCCAGACATGCTGCCTCCCTCCAGCCCTTTCTCCAACCATTCCTCCCAAAGCACCCACCACCTCCTCTGGGTTCGATAATTCACTGCAGTGGCCACACAGAATTCACGGATTACAGGGTTTATTAGGGAAGCACCAGGCTACAACTCAAGTTCAGGGAGAACACTCAGTCTCTCTCTCAGTCCACCGTCCCTCAGCCAACAGTCTCTCACAGTCTCTTTCCCAGCAGTGCTGGTCCCTCAGTGTCTCACTCAGCAATGCGTGTCTCTTGCGTCTCTTTCCCAGCAGCACGTGTCTCTTTCAGGAGCGCCTGTCTCTTTCAGCAGCAGGTCTTCCTCAGCCAGCAGTCAGAGAGAGTTCTGCCTTAGGAGGCCTCTTTTTGAGCCCAGCAGGGTGGTCAAACTAGCCAATCACAGCATCATAACTCTAAGCACCTGAGAGAGAGTGGGAACCTCCCAGAACATTGTTTTGTGCCACTCCCAACAGAAATCTTCCAGGTGGGTGACTTTAGCAATCAGGAGCTCCTCAGTTGCTCATAGAAAATCCCACCTTGGAGTTTACAGAGACTTATGGTTAGAAAAGCCACACTAAGTAATTTACTACACCGCACTCACTCAATGTCATCAATAAGAGGTGGCAACAGGATTGAAACCTAGATCTGTCTGAAACCAGAACTTTTGATCTTCTAACATTTTCTTCTATTCTAAAAGATTTTTCTATAAAGTTCTAAAAACTCCTTTTGTATACAATATATTGTTTGATCTATTGACATTATTGATTGTGAGTAGTACTAAAGCGTAATTTTAGGACATTTATGCAGCAGCTCTTTACTTAACACATGAACACATATGCATATAATCAAACCTTAAAGTCAGTGTATTTTATTCGTAATCTGAAAAATCTGTACTACTATGTATCTTCCCACAGAACAATGTTGTTGTTAGGTGCCATCACGTCATTCCGATGCATAGTGACCTCATGCACAACAAAACGAAACACTGTCCAGTCCTCTGCCATCCACACAGCTGTTGCTATACCTGAGCCCATTATTGTAGGCACTGTGTCAATCATTCTTATCAAGGTCTTCCTCTTTTTCACTGACCCTTTATGTTACTAAGCATGATACTCTTCCCAGGAAATGGTCCCTACTGACAACATGACAAAAGTACAAAAGGCGAAGTGTCACCATCCTCATTTCTAAGGAACATTCTGGCTGTATTTCATCCAGGACACATTTGTTCATTCTTCTTGCAGTCTGTGGTGTATTCAGTATTCTTCACCAACACCATAATTCAAATGCATCAATTCTGCAGTCTTCCTTATTGATTGTCCAGCATTCACATACCTGTGAGCGATTGAAAATACCATGGCTAGAGTCAGGCACACCTTAGTCTTCAAAGTTACATCTTTGCCTTTTAACACTTCAAAGAGGTCTTTTGCAGCTCATTTGCCCAACACAGTAATACGTAATTTGATCTCTTGACTGCTGCTTCCATGGATGTTGATTTCGGATCTGAGTAAAATGAAATCCTTGTCAACTTTGATCTTTTCTCCGTTTGCTTATTGGCCCAGATGTGAGGATTTTCTTTATGTTGAGGTGTGATCATATTGAACGAAGGCTGTAATCTTTGATCTTCGTCAGTAAGTGCTTCATGTGTTCTTTGCTTTCCGCAAGCAAGGTTGTATCATGCATATCATAGGTTGTTAATGAGTAGTCCTCCAATCCTGGTGCCGTGTTCTTCTTATAGTCCAGTTTCTTGGATTATTTGCTCAGCGTACAGATTAAATAAGTATGGCGAAAGGATAATACAGCACTGATGCACATCTTTCCTGATTTTAATCTACTTAGTATCTCCCTCTTCTGTTTGAATTACAGCCTCTTAGTCTGTGTACGGGAGCTCTGGTAGCATAGTGGCTAAGGCACTTGACTGCTCACCAGATGGCTGGCGGTTCAAACCCATCAGCCACTCCTCGGAAGGAAGGTTGGGCAATCCTACTTCCGTAGTGATACTGCCTCGGAAACCCAAGGAGG